GTGGGAGTAGCTCAGAAGGATTTATGGAGGAGAGGACCCTTGAGCTGGTAATGAGGTCCAGGTAAAACTTGGGGTGTATAGAGTAAGGAGGAAGCAGGAGCAGGAGGCATGGTCTCAGGGAGAATGAGATAGAAGGGATCTTTGAAAGCAAGGACTTCGACTTATAAATTCAGTTGGGCTCTTCAAGTGTTTACTGAGCACCTATTATGTGCCAGCAGCAGAGCAGAACCAGGAATACTGTGTTAATCTTGAAGAATCCCACAGACTGGTGATATGAGGTCAGCAGTTTTGGCAGTTCACAGTCTGGTGGCAGAGGGAAACATAATAAAATGATTCCAAAATTCAGTAAGAAAAGAGTTTTCTGGGTATAAGGTGCAACATAGACAATGGCCAGGGGGTCATTTCACCAACCCCCTAATTTACCCTTTAAGTAGTCCAGCTCCACCCTCTCCCTGTCCTAAGGCCAACTGGGCTTTGGGATTCACTACCAAGATTGGAATGGAGATCTGGGAGGGGCCATCGGAGCATGGAGTCTGGAGATTGTCTGAGAGTTAGTGTAAACTCAGAGACTAAGGAGCCAGGATAACCGAGGCGTCTTCACCCTCAAGTTAGTTTATAAATCCTGCTGTCTAATTTGGGTTGGGGAACCTCCTGTGACGGTCAGGAAAGCTGACTTGGGGTCCCTGCTTCTTTCCTTTCACCTCCTGATTGTATGGAGAGGGGCATGAATCTGTGAGGACCTCTGGGATTCTTGAGGGGGTCCCCTGGAAAAGTAATATGGCTCAGAGGGGAGGACTCCTCCCTTGAGCTCCTCATTCTCACATGTGCAAGGAGTACCGGGTCCAGTTTTGTATGTTCCAGCTGAATGATCTTGAACAAATCCCATAACCTTTCTGAGTGAGCCTCAGTTTATCTATTTTGTACTTGATGCTGTAGAATCCTTTTCTACTCACAGCGACCCTGTAGGACAGAGCAGAACTGTGCCACTAAAGGTTTCCAAGGCTATAGCCTTGTCAGAAGCAGACTGCCATATTTTTCTCCTATGGAGCAGCTGGTGATTTGGAACTTTTGACCTTTTACAGCTACGCACTTAACCACTATTACACCAGGGCTCCCATCTATTTGATAAAGGGCATTAAGACTTACCTATATCTCCTTAAGTTTGTTCAGGGATTAATCAAGACCAGGAAGAGGGAAGTGTTAATATAAATCTTCTCTGAGAAGCATCATGATAATAATATTAAAATAGGACAACCCTCCTCAATGAATCATTTCCAAAGAGTTTGGGAGTGTGAGGAGCAGAGATAGTCAAGAATGCTGGAGAAGAGTGTGTGTTGGTTTTCTGAAGACAGGAGATGGTGGATTCCAGCAACAACCAGCTGGTGGAGTTGACATCACTTCTTGTTTGATATGTGCAGCTCAGTTGTAACCAACTCCTAGCTGACCTTCTAGCAGGTTTTCAGAGGCCATAAATCCCACAGGGGGTGATTGCCCGTCCTTCTCTTGCAGAGCAGCTGGTGAATTCAAACTGCCTGCCTTTGGGTTGACAGGGAGACTCCTGATCATTGGTCATTGGAGCTCCCTGACATCATTGCTTAGCAGACTCTAAATAGATAAGTTATTTTAAACCATTAGGGGGGGAAAGCCAACAACAACAAACAATTTGGCCTCCCTGGGAGCACCAAGCCTCCACAGACATAAAATGGTCCAGGTGGCCTTCTTTCCTCTCCCCAAGGAGAATTACTTACTAGTCTCTAAGGGTTCTTTCCTTGGTCCTGACAGTTGTTTCTGTTAAAGGTATATATGAAAATAGAAATTATGTTTATCAGGTCTACAGATTATACAAGAAATGAGAATTAGAATTGGAAAAAAATGAACCAGATAACATTTAGTAGATATAAATGTAAAAATCTTCATTTGGTTAAAAAAAAATTAACTGCAACACAATAAGAGGGTGGAAAACCAGCTGAAGATGATGTTTAGTTTTATTTGACTACAGGCTTGTTGGAGCGCTCTGGTGGCCTAGTGAGTAAGGAGTAGCACTGCCAACTCAGAGACAGGGGTTCAAATCCACTGGCTTCTTGGAGGGTAAACATGAGAAGTCTCTTCCTTTGTAATTTCTAACCTCTGAAAACCTACTAAAGGATCAACTGTGAGTTGATTCTAATTTGATGGCAATGACAATGAGAGAGACAAAGTGACAATCTGAAAAAAGAAATCTTGTAAATGATGAATAGAGGAAAGAGGTCTAGACTAGATCAGGAGTGGTGACATTCTTATTGACCTTCCATATGTGAAGTCCTGTTCTGGACGTTGTATTTTATGATGGACCTTGAGGGTTTGGAGTTCATCCCAGAGGAAGAAAACTAGATGGTAAGGGATGATGGAATCATATTTGATGAAGACATTTTGTGTAAACTTATGTCTCAGTACTGCAATTAAACTGTCAAACTAACAAAAATAGACTCTGAATACCGCACACAATTAAAGTTAGCAAGCATACCCTGAAGTCCTAACTCACGCCCCAAACTCCATGAGAGAGAGTAAGTGGGATGTGAAGAAGCTGAGTGCAGCATCAGTAAGTGGCCAGTAGCCAGCTTCTCCTCATCTCCTGGGAGGAGAAGGGTGATCTCCAACAAGGGGAGTTGGTGATGGCTTCCAGAGCGGTGACTCTTCAAGGTTTGGGACCTGCCCTGAA